GATGCAGTAATTTTTCATGCCCTAAGCACTGTGGCTAAGGACAAAACACACAGAGCAGCTCAGAGTGCAGCGGGGCTCAGAAGCAAGCATCCATCTGCTCAGAATGAATGCGTGCTGCAGGCTTGCTATGCTTTTGCTAAGCACACACACACACAGATAAATAAAAATCAACTTGCTTTTACAACAAAATAATCAGTCACAAGTGCAAAACCTGTTCATAAATACATGTATTCTGAAGGGCTCTTTAACAACTCCACACAAGGGTCATTTTTGCCTGAAATGGAAAGGGTGAAGACCATGGGTGTATTCCTTCTCACCTGGTTAATGTGGATAAAAACATCTCTTTCACAACTGTATAGCCTCTAATAGTTTAGGGATGGTTAGCCACAAACCCTATAAAAATAATCTGGTCTTGAAATAGCAACCTTTTCTTCCCCCCCCACCCTCCGTCCTCTTTTACTGGCATATACCAGGCTAGCTTCTTGACTGATGCATATCATCGTACCTGTACTAATACCAAACATGTTGTGGCAGTTTACAACCTTCTGAAGATCTGACCCCTCTCTGCTGTCCTGGAAATAGATCTGTGGTCTCTGCAGAAAGTAATACTCTTTTATACACACACAGATGTAGGCGTCCTGCCCCCACTAGCTCATATTTAACTCTCTTTTCATCTTGTTTATTTTGTCTTCGTGGTATCAAAGCAAGCTGCACACCCAGCAACAAGCTTGCAGCAAATAGGTGCATCTTATTTTCAGTGGATGGTCCTTCACAGGGCACATACTACACCCCCAAGGGATTCATGAAGAGGGCCAGGTCAGAGTCTCTACAATTTTAATTTCAGTTCCTCTGTTAGAGGAAACTTGTCCTTCCCAGTGCAGTTGGAGCAGACACAGGGATTCACAGGTAGAATGGGAAGATGCAGTGTGTGGTGACAGTAGTCACCAGTCAGTACCCTGTCTCTCTGCTTCCCCAGAGATGATGAAAAGCTGTGCACTCCCTTTCTCTACACCCCAAAGATCCAGACAGGTGAGGAGGGCAATAACCTGTGTGTCCTGCCCTCTACAATAACTGAGGATAGAGGTTTCTCCTGCTTGCCAGACTCTGAAATGGGCCAGGTGCCTCTTCCCACTTTCAGGGAAAGAGACATTGTCAAGCCTCCACACCGAGCTATCAGCCAAGAGAAGACCTAAAAAGTCCTTTAGCGAACAGATGAGGAAGGTCCTGCAGGTGAAAAAAGAGGTGACAACCCATGACTCGCTCCAGGCACTGTTTTCTGAGGACACTTTGCCTTGAAGTGCCATCTCTACAGTGTATTCGTGCAGCGTGGTGGAGAAAGGCAGAGAGGTCTCCCAAGACAGCTCTGAGACAAACTTAGCCAGACACAACACAGCAGTACAACACGGTCAGTCAGACCTGCCTCTCCACTGGGCTCCCGACTCCCAGCACAGCACCGGGGCTAGACCACTTCCAGCACCTAATCTCATATTTCTGCACCACACCACAGCCTACACCAAGCTAGCACAGGGATCTCTAACACAGCAGTGCCTTGGCTTTCGCCTTCCCCTTCACGCTGTCCCATTCTGCTAAGGTACCCACTGTGCAAGCAAGACAGACGAAGATCAGAGCAAATTCAGGGGTATCCTCAAGTACAACGCCCAGAGGCACCAAAATACTGCTGTATGCCCAGATGGACCAACCTTGCTCTCCTTACTGGCTATCACAAGGTCACTGTGCTTTGAGTTTTTGACTGGTGTGCCAAAAACCCTGGAACTGTGCCTGTCATTTATAGCACCTTTTCTCAGATGACTCTGACATGTCTTTATAAACTTTAGTAAATGAGTGTATAAATCACTCTGTCCACCACCAAGTACAGCCATCTCTGGGATGATACGCAGCAGCCGCTCTAAAATCAGACTGCAGCTCTACACCACAGATTAGGGCAATAAAACATGCTGCATGAGGCAACTGAAATGGCTGGAGGAAGGAAGGGGGACATGGTGGAGAGCATTTTGTAGTTATAATTACCTGAGTATAAATTTGGCTGAAGAGGGTACTGTGTTTAACACTTGCATATCTGCAAATCAAAGCAGTCTTGCACCACCTGTCAAAACAACCTGACTGTACCGTTCTCCATGTTTTGGCCCTTCCTTTCTGAAAATTGCAAAGCACCTTGATAAGAGCAAAGCTGATGTGCTGAGCACAAGCAATAACCTCATCAAATTTCTTAGCACCTGACTTGATAACTGTGATCCTGGACCTGCTATGTCCCCTCCCTTCCTCAACAACTGGACATAGTGTCTATATATTCCCAGTTTTAAAATAGCTTCTGCTCCTGTAATTTGCAAATCATTCACATAGATCTTATTTTCTAGGCTAAAAGTAGTTAATTAGAGTCACCAAGGGGACTGAACTGCTGCACCCTTTCCCTTACTCTGGGATGGGCTCCTTGAGCAGTGCATTGCCCCCCCCCCCCCCCCCAACACCCCA